CACATGGTCGAGATTGAGAAGCTGCCGGCTGCCAGCATCCGTGACCTTCTCTTGCTGCTTATGTCGAGCGGAAAACTCCTCCCTGGCCTCTCCGACGATCTTCACAGCATTCGCTGCATGAAAGGTCTCTCGCGCCGCAGAGACCTCCCCAGATGAGGGCACAAGCCAGCCTCTGGCGCTGCCCTGTGCGCTGTCCGGCCATGGGAACCTAAATGAAGAAAAAGCAGACAACTCGAAGCTCTCAATACTTTGTGTATCACATGCTTTCGAGCCGCAAATACCCGACGTGCAACAGCAGGAAAAGGAGCAGTGGTACAACAGCTGCTGCACTATGCCACATCCGAAAAATGAAAGGAGCACGCCAGGTCCACGCCAAACCGAGGAGCCAGCTGTGGGGATGGCGCAAAGGAGATAAGCCCCGAGGTCCTGAAAGCCGTCTTTTTTCAAGCTAACAGCTCTGCGAAAAACGGATGACGCCGGCCGCCCCGTCCTTGGGGTCTCTTCCAAGCTCAGAGCCTCTCCGGGGAACGTCCGGGGCGGTGTGGAGCTCTCCGGGGACGCCAGCGCACCACCGGGCCTCCCAGAAACACGGGCTTGACAAGATGCAACTGCGCAGAAGGCCCTGAGGTTGCTGCTGCACTCGCAGCAGTTCGCTGAAGGACTCCTCCAGGTCGCCTGTCGGCCAGGCCCTGGCAGCAGGAATCATGTCAGACACGCAACGCCGAAATACAAAATGCGTCAGCCGCACGAAGAGGCACTGTATGAGGACGTACCCGGCTCCATTGTGGAGACAGTGGCCTTTCCAAGATCGCAAAGGAGGGAAGGCAGCGTCCGTGTGGCCAAGAAGACTGGAAGTGCACTCCACGAACTCCACGTCTCCGTTGCTCCTTCCGTGCTCACCGCACTACAAGGCCCAAAGGACGATGGCCTCAGGACTTCGAGCTGTCCCGGAGCGAGTTGTCCCGGCCCAGCCACATAAAGGTCTGTAGCTAAGAATTCAAGCAGCAGCTGGATGCTGCCATGACGGCACAGCCTCGACGACTTGCTTCGGTCGTCAGGCACCCGGGAAATCGATGGGAAGACTTCCGACGCCCCCATCAGGCTATCGGAAATTGGGTGCTGGCTGCGCTTACTGCTCGGCCGCTTGCCGACTGGTCAAGAAGCCAAGTCAACCATGAAAACTTGGGAAAACTGATTGCTTGACATCCTGCCTGTGCGAGACATGCCCAGATATTTCGCAAGTGCTGCGTGCTGCGCACTTCCGGGTCTTTCGATGAATAGGCTGCATGAGATCAAATCAGGGTCATGTCAATGGGTGAGGCGAGGTGTCACTTGGGCGCTCAGGCCTCAGGCGTCTACCTTCTCGTTTACCTGAGAGGACGAAAGGTCCGAAAGTATGCCTCTCCTGCAGAGGCTCCCTTAAAAATACTGCTGAGGGAAGGGGCCAGCCACGCGCTGAACTTGCTTTCGATCTGCTCATTCACCTTGGCCATGCCATCTCGGACCTCAGAGTCTTGCGCTTTTTTCGGGCTCAGCTCCGGCCTCGGCTCCCTGGGGCAGAGGCCACCCTGCCGGTCATCAGCTTGGACGCCTTCTCGACGAAGGAATCCGGCAGCGGGAACCACCAGGGGAGGTTCATCCGCGACCGGGACCTCAAGGACTTCAAAGCCAGGACCAGCAAACTGCAACAAAAATAGAACCTCCTCTGAGATGTGGGCCAGGCGTGGTTCGTCAGATCCAGACCTCTGGAGAACTCGTGGAGAGACGCTTCTTCTTGAGGCAACGGATGCTTCTGCGCCTCCTTCACTGTTCTCCACCCACTCGATGATGTTCTCGGACTCCATGTCCATCTGCCAACAGAACTGAATCCCCGACCCAAAATTCAAGAGGCCGGCATGATCAAGCCTTGTATTGGGGATCGAAGGTGACCTCGCCGGTCTTCTTGTCCACATTGCCTGGAGCAGTGTCCCAAAAAATGCCTCCATCTTTCACCCCGGGTGGAGATGTTTTTCCGAACCTGGCCAGGCCTGGGTGCATATCCAGAATGTGCACATTGCACTTTCCACCCGCCTCAGCAACCTCCACCTTGACCTGGAAGGAAGCGATTTTCAAGGAAAACTTAGCCAGACGCCCCTCTCCCCGCCTCCATCATGAGCTGCGAGCGATAGGGGCCGATGTCATTTGGCCTCAAAGTCAAGTTTGCTACTTGGCCCCACCCGAGCTTCGTTCCTGTTTTGAAAGCCTTAGGCCACAGGAAGTCTGAGCTTCCTGCTTCATGAAGCACTGCAAAATCTCCGGCTGGCCGGGCTTCGGCACAATCTTCTCAAGATTCTGCAGGCTCACCTCACTGGGTACCAACTGAAAGTCCGCGCTTTCCACAACCCCAACAGCCTCTGCTGCGTTCTCGCGCATGAATGCATCCTCGGCCGCCGATTGCAGCTCCACTAACAATCAATGCCGACGGTAGCCATCGCCTTTCGTAGCCTAGCAGCTCCTAGCACTCGTACGACATGTGCATCCAGTCGCTCGATACGTGGATAAAGCTGCAAACTTGCACCTGACCACAAGCAATAGATTAAACCTGGCCATGCCAAGGCAGCCGGGCTGCCATGGAGCTTGATGTTCCCTGAGTGAGGCTCTTTTTCAAAGTCACCTGGGACAGCAGCTCTTTTTCAATCCGTGCCTATCCTTGCCAACTGCACTGACGCTTCCATGCTTTCACGCAGAAAACTGTATGACAACAGGAAACATATTCTCCGGAACCTGCCTCATGCCCAATGCAGATCTGACGTCCCGACTTTTGATCCGCCTTGTCCTGCGCAGGCAGCCGGCATGAGGAAAAAAAGGAGATGCAGGTGTGATCCGCGGACCCCAGGGCCCCAGTCCGTCGCTCGTCGCTTGACCACTCCACGGCGTGCTGAGATGACTTTGCCAGCTGCCACCAAGGTGGCCGCTGGAGAAGCCCAGGCCGCGATAGACGTGTGCGGGGCTGCTGGAGCCTGCGAGCACGCTGTCAGCACATCTCGCGGTCTGTGCGGCCCTGCACCCTCCGATGCATCCGCTTCCTCGCCTGACCGGCCTGCGGTCTCGCTGTGCGCACTTGCCTTCCACGGGCGTGTTGGCTGCGCTCCAGCGGGTTCCATGGAGGCAGGGGGGGAAGAAGCAAAGCCAAAGCCCACAGCCTGTCCAAGACTCTCGCGGCCAATAGCGGCTGCACAGCCTGGGGATCCTCAGCTGGAAGCTGGGAGGGCTTGTGGAAGGAAGGCGACAGCATCCGCTGATGCAAGAGAGCCAGAGTGATTTCAGTGTGTACTGCTTATCTATCTTGCTGCTCGACTTCGCAAAAAATGGCCCTGCCCAACAAGGCCGCCGTGCCACCCTCAAGGGGGCTCGGATATGCTTACACGTGTGTCTCTCTCTCTCTCTCTAACTCTCTCGCTGTCCCCATTTTCCAGTCGCTGATCTGATCTCGCTAGCACTCTATCTGGCTGCAGTCCGAGTACCATGAGGCCAAGACTTGGTAAAAAGCACGCAAGAGCCGAGTCGGGAAATGGCTGCGAGAAGTTTGTCTCAATCGTTGAGTTTGAAAGCTTTGATGGCTTCAGCCTTGGAACTTGATCTGTAGGTTCATCCGCAATCGAAGGCAACGGCACCCCAAGCGCAAGCATCTGCGAACCCGGCCTGAAAGGTCTTGTTCTCCCTTTGAAGATCAGCCTCCAGACCGCATATAACACGCAGGCATCTCGAAAGTCAAGACAACGCTTCCTCCTCATCGAAGCTGAACTGCTCAACCTCTGCACACTCAAGTGAAGTTGTCTTTCTCTGGTTCAGGTGTGGCTGGGCCCCCCGTCAGACACTCCTTCAGGAAGTGTGTCCATGCTCAGCTTTTCGAAGGAGCAACTAATGGCGGTGCTTTCTGTAGCAGTCGATTTGTGTCAGACTATGGAGATCGAAGAGGAGTCGCGAACTGCACATGCAAACAAGTGTCCGGTCCTGGGCTTGGCTTCGGCTTGTTTTGGCTTCGGTGGTCTGCGCGTCGCTATGCAACGTGGCAAGCAAAAGAGGGCCCAGCGATCCCTTCAGGGAGCCCGGATCCCCATCTTGGGCCGAGGGGGGCGCGCGAGGGCGTCTGCAGACCATAGCAGTCTTCGGAGTCTTCGGCAGTAAGATTTAGGGAACCGAGGTCAAGGAGCGCCGGGCATCACCTGCATCGGTTCACCTCCGAGCTCAAACTGGCGTCCACCGAAAGGGTTGTCCTCCAGGCACAACAGCTACCTCCTCAGATCTGCAAGTCAAGATGTCCTCGACTCGGAAACCGTAGCGGACAAGGAACCTCAAGGAGATGCCGTGCCGACACAACACGACATAAGTTAATAAGTACTAGTACAGCTACCACAACCAGCACAGCTACAAGGAGTATGAGGATTCGAGACGCCTTCGGCAAAAATTGCATTGAAAAATGCTGTCACTGTGTGCTGCCGGTTGACTGCACCTGTGGGACGCAAACTAATGTGCTGGTGCGGCCCAGGCAGAAGCTCTATGCCTTTGCTGCTTGCGGCTTGCCGCCCCTTCGCTGCTAGGTGACCTCTTCACCTTTGACCGTTGTCGAGATGGGTTAATTATGCATATTGCATGGAACTGCCTCCGAGGCGCTCTAAATTGGAAGCCTGTGCGTAATCGATGCACAGCTCCTGTGGAAGGTGCTTCACTGTCACCCAACTTTCAAAGACTTCCGAGACACCGCATGCATTGGCTGAGTGTCACGCATCACCAGGCATGACATCCTTGGTGGCGACGAACCGAAGTGCGTCCTCTCTCAAGGCTGCTCCACAGCTCAATGGAGCCAACTGACAACTGACTCGACCTCAACCCTCATGGTGCAAGGGGTAAAGAGGGGGTCCTCCGCCAGGGTTGCAGTTCTAACGCTGGCAACCTGGGTGCAGGCGGGCTGTAGTACGTCCTGCATACTCAGAGGCACGAGAGCTGGGACGGCGACCATGTTATGATTGAGGAAGTCGGCCAGTGGTATCAGCATGGTGCTCTCCCGGGTGCCCTGCACAGCACCAAAAGCAAAATCGCGGGAGCCCCATCACTGGACGCTTCGGCCTCAAACGCGAAACCGCGGGTTTTCACCACGCTGAGTGCCCAGCGCAGGTCCTCGGATTCGTCTCTCAGAGCTCTGAGAGGAAAGCTCAGCTTCAAGGCTCAGCACACTCCTCCTTCGTGACCGGTCGTCCGCGCCAAAGATTTGGATTCATCTGAGAAGGCTTTTTTTTCATTCCACTCGAGAAGACCAGACTAGAAATTTCGGAAGACGACTGTTTGGAGCCCGCCTCCTTAGCGGCCCGACCCATGCAGTCGAGGTCCTCAAACCTCATCCCGGCTTTTGTGTGTTTCCACTGTTTTGCTCGGCTTTCGCCCGGGACCCGCACCAATTCTGGACTATGTAGGAAAAGAAAGTCCTCTGCACCAGTGTCAACTGCCTGCCAGATGGAGGATTTTGAGCTGCATCTTTCGGAACAGCTATGAACAGCTCCAGCAATGCAATGACAAGACAGGATCTGCAGCAGGAGGCTGACGGCAAGATGAGGTTGCTTGCATTACCGCATCGACTTCGCTTCCAGGCATGGGAGACACATCTATGGACATGTTAGGCGCGGCAGCATCATGCAATCCGCTGCCTGACATCATGTACAGCACCCTTTCGCTGGGATTCGCATGCTTTACTTAACATTCAGATTTTGCTGCTATACAGTTCCGCTTTGAATTCGTCTGTCTGGCCATCTCCTCATGGACTTGCTGTGAATGAGACATTCTTGTTCCGGTCCCGCATGTGCACCCTTGCTTGAGACGCCGCCCAGATTCACCCTGAAGCATGCAAGTTTTCTTGAGATGGATTGACATTGTGATTGCAAAGGGCCGACAAGTACGAGTAGGTCTCGAAGTTTGAGGTTACGGCCTGCAACAACGCGACACTGTCGAAATCGTCATCTTCTCAGTGTCAGTTCTCGTGTTCGCCAAGAGGTTTGGGCACGCTCGGAGCTCGCTCCTTCCCTTCCGCGGCTCAGGCGTGCGGTGTCCAAAACTGGTACCAAGAATCGGCGGGAGAGCATGAGAGCCACCAGGAGTCGGAAGGATGAAGGAGTGACTGCGCGATTGCGGCAAGGTTCATGCAGCCAGGACAGATCAGGACAATGTACAGGCTGGTCAAGCCGCACACTACAGTCCGATGCGACTCGCAACCTGCAGGCCACGAACTGTAGGACAAAAAGCAAACCCACGCAGGCCTGTCGGAGAACCACAGCACCTTGGCGATGAGCTGCCAAGCCGAAGTTAAATAGGTAGGGTTGCAGCCAGGCCGCATTTGCAAAGGTGAGAGGCAAGAGCTTGATCCAGTCCGCCAAAACTGAGTTGGGATTCACCCTGCAACACTGCGGATGCCGGCCGAATAGTGCGGATAGCAAACATTCTATACACTCTGTGAGTTACCCGCCTCTCGAGCGCCAAACCCAGGCTCAAAATGGCATGTGCATCACAGCTATGACGCCTCGACATAACAAAAAAGCCACTAAATCACCGGGTTGTACGAATCTGCTGGTTCGCTCGAGTGAGCCTTGATGCTTCGACCACCGCAGAGTGCACACTCTTCAGTGAGAAAACCTGCAGCAGTACGGGCGCGACACCGACGGATCTCTTTAATCACATGTCTTGAGCTGAATCAAGGAAGCGATCTGCGCCCGTCCTGGGTGGAGGGAACCCTCAAAACCGTCGATCTGGAGGGAAGTGTCCTGAGACTCAGCTGCCCGACCCAGTCTGTGAAGCATGGATTTTGCTTTCACCGGTGTCTGTGCCTGTACACTGTACACATCTGTACACCTCTGTACACTGTAGTCGTGGCTGAGGCTTGAAATGGCTTGAAGCCTCTCGGAGCCGTGGCGGGCCTAATCGCTCTCCTCAAAGCTATCTTTATCTTGCAGAACCTTTTCAGTGCAAACTTGTCTGAGCCTTTCGTGCAGCTTTGTTGTAGGCAGCGACAGCACCTCGGAGAGGCCCCGGTCGGAGCCCTCGGGAGGCAGATTCAGAGCCGCAAGGCATGCGACGCCTTTCGGATTCATGTCCTGGAAGGAATTTCGACCTCCCGTGTGCTCCAGTAAGTTGTGCAACCAGCCGATCATTGTGTAGCATCCGTTCCCGGTCGCATAAACGTTCCCGCCACAAGCAAATTCACCGGATGGCTTCAATTGCTCTGACAGTAGCCGGTTGCGCTGCCTCTTTCGCATGCCGTCGGTTTGCCAGACTCCCAGGAACTCCAGCACGCTCTTGATGGCTGAGTCTGGAACTCGTGCAGGAGCCAGGGTCCGTCTCAGCAAGTGCGGTCCCGCCAGAATGCTTCTTGCGGGCAGAAGGGACGGCGCAGACGGGTCCAACAAAAAAAGTGCCACAAAGTCGCGTGAGGCCTCTGTCGAACCGGTGTTTTTTAACCTCAGAACCCGGTGCGCCATCTGATAGTTCGAAAACACCATCAGGGTGCCCTCACCAATTGGAACCCGACAGTTATGCACCGCGGAAGACTTGTCACTCTTGCTTCCAGCTCGCAAAGCCTGCTGAAGGGACTTCGATCCCAAATCAAAGATGTTGTTGCTGCAATCGCCGTAGCCCAACACATCCATGGGCTCGCGACCACAGAACTCCATGCCACCACCCCGAAGAGAGGGGTCAACATGGTAGTAGTACAACACCACTGCAGCTACATTTTCTCTGTGCCCATCGACATGCCACAGACCGACGTACTCGGCATCTGAGTTGTCACCAGTATCTCCTGGAATAAGTATACGCTGTGCCTTAAACACAACTTGCAGGCGCCGATCATCCAGGAGAAGCTGCGGTCGCCGCAACTTCGCTAACAAGGGCAGAGCTGCAGAGAGTACCGGACGAGCAACATGCTGGGCAAGCTGTGGATACAGGTGGCTCCGCAAACCACCCACCAATGATACAGTGCCATCTGCAGAAATATCGAACTCGCACGGAACCCACGCAGGACCGTCACTTGTCTGGTGAACAAACTGATTGGGATCCACGATCATCTGGTAGCGTGGTATCGGCCTGTCAGGCATTAAGGCTGCGTGCTCATCCAGTAGCTGTCTCACAGGCAAATGTAGGCAAGTACTCCAGACATCACTTCGCGCACCTCCCCACTGCCTTGTTCCTGCCGGTAGCTCCCAGCAAGGTGCCTGAGGGAAATATCCGAACGGTTTCAACGGTTCGTATCTGCCTGCTTCGTAGGAAATGACTTCGCGTTTGCTATAGACCAGCCAACACATATGCTGATGCCCCTTGTAGTTTCTGGTCACCCATGTCCGCCACTCCTTCAGTGCCTGGACGGGTTCTAGGACATCGCGGAGGTCTGGGCGAATCACCCCTTCTCCTAAACTCGGATTGCCAGCGCAGCCGATCTTTCGGCACAGGAGGGGGCTACAGTCTCGAATCGTCTGCTTTAGCGTTAGAGTCCCTTCTCCAACAAGGTCGGACGCTGACAACTCGCGGCCATCACGGAGCAGAATCCCATCTTCGCAGCCTGTCTCTTCTGAGATCAATTCCAAGAGCATTCCAGCAGTGAAGAGCTCAGCCTTCAGACGACTTCGCTCCATCTCAAACAACACCTCACCACCTAGGCTGTGTCCATGAACGCCCTGCTCGTCCAAGTGCACCGTCGAAATTTGGTGCCTGGGGAATGGGTCTGGGAACCTGAAACCTCTGAAACTCTCATAATCTTCTTCTTCTTCGTATTCTTCGAAATCTGCTTCAGAATCTTCATAGTCTTCATCTCCTCCACCCGCGTCCATTCTACAAACTTCATCCTCTCCAAACTTCACCATCCTAGCAGACAGTGCCTCTTCATAGCCATAACGGTCGTGGGGGTCCATGGCGAAACGAACAACTGGATGCACACTTAGGCACTGAGCCGACAGGCGCAACAACCCCAGCAAGAGCTACAGTATCAAATGCTTGGCAGGGCCAGCGAGAATAGAGCCGACAACAAGCTGGCTGCACCGATGGAAACTTGTACTGATTCTTGCTGGCACCACAAGACGCTTCTCTTGCTCACGATAGGCGCTCACATCCAGATCCCCCTCTGTTTTGCAGCAAAACGGTATCACACTGTCACACCCAGTCCTGGATGCCACAGCACCGGTACGGCCACCAAAGACTTGTCGAATGTCAAACTGCACTGTGGCACCCCTTGGGGAAGAAACAAGAGGGCAGCAGATACTTCTCCGCTGCCGCTGCAGGCCGCCTCCGAACCATGTCCGCCACGAAGTTTCGACGACGTAGGTCGAACTGACACATCGTTGCACGGCCACTCACACACTCTCGTCTCCCTTCCTTCCTCCTGTTTTTCTGCAAAGATCGCGAGCAGAGCGCTCAGCTTCTTCGCGACCCCAACCCTGGCCTGGATGCCTTCTTCCGTCTCTGTGCAGCATCTGTCATAGGTGAAGACCTACTGATGCGGGTGCGGCGGCCCAAACAAAGCGTTGGCTCCGGTTTTGCAAGCCAGGTGCCCGACAGAGTCCCAGCAAAGGGGGTTTCCCTTGGCCCCAGGTGCGCTGCAGCAGATTTCAGGAGTCCAGCCTCCGACCTAAGAACGGCTTCCACAGACACGAAGACGTCTTCGCAGTTCCCAAACTTGGGATCCAGCCCAACATTCTGCGGAGGAAAAAGCATCGACTCCAGGGACAGCTGCAACGAGGAGCAGCCTCCACACTGCCCCATTCCAAATTCGACCCCTCGGATTCGCATAAGAGCACCTGCCGCCAAATAAATGCCGCCGCCGACCCGCGACCGGCATCCTGCACCGACTTTACGTCGACAGTACGCATTGTGCAACAGAAGTGAAGCTCCTCTACAGCTATCCAAGAGCCGAGGATGCCATCATGCTGCGATCTTACAATCACCTACTTGCCGCAAGCGGGACACAAGTCGAGTCTTCTCGAGCGCTTTCATAGATCAGCTTGCCTAGCTTGCCGGCGTTACGAACGGTGTGTGCTACCGTCTAGCACAGCCACCTTCCATGGTTCGGACCACAACTTGTTCAGAGTTTCCACGTAGCCGTCACAACGCATGTACTCCCATCTACCCATGCTACCATGTGAGCCCCTTGAGAACATGCAGTGGCACGGAAGCTGAAGCGGTTGAGCTCACACTTGTAGAATGCTTCAAGGGACTGCGTTGCTGCTCCCACTCTCTTTGAGCAGATTTTGCGACGCTCCTTCGCCTTGCCGCATGGGAACTCCGAGGTTGCGGCGCTCGGACAGGAGGGCTGACCTCACTGCCGGCACTCAGAACTTCCGGTGCGGGAGGCTTTGCACCTGAATTGAGCTTTTCGAGAAGCTAGCACAGAAACGGAAAGAAGCTGCAGGCAAGGCGCAGCACACTGCCCAACGCCTCATGGGCTGGTTGCGGGCTTCTTTCACTTCTCCGATGCTCCGGGGCCGCCACAGAGACCCAGCATGAGGAAAGCGAGGATGGTGAGCCCGACGAAGGTCAATGCACTGACAGCACAATAATGGATCCAACAGTTCCAACATTTCTTCAAGACTCTTTGCAGATTTCTCAGCTGCCTGGCATGCAAGCTTTCTGCATAGAGCCCCGGCTCGTGCATCCTGCAGGGCCATAAATGAACAAAACGAAAACGTGCAAAAGCTATGTAAGACCGTCTTGAATCCACGGTGCGTGTCGCTCAGATCTGCACTCGCATGATTTAACAACTATGTAAGTCATCCGACAATTGCGGCACTCAAGCCCACGAACATGCTCCTTGATACACGAGGAAAGACAACACACTGCAAGCAGACCAGTCTCAAGAAGTTGCGGCATGGGTCCAAACGAGAAGAAGTATCTGCGCATCTGGCAGGATGCCAAAGCCATTCACTGACTGCGCCATACCTGCACGAAGTGCAAATGAAACATCACACGACACTCATCGACACTCGCTGTCGAAGCGTCTCCGCGTGTCCGGTGCATCGACTTTACGAAAGACGGGTCTGAGTGCACGGGTCACGTGCTGCTCTGGTGAAGATGCCGTCGCCTGCAAAACGTCACAGGAACAGCTTCATCCGAAAATGGCCCGTGCTCTAGTCATGGATTGCTCGAGCTAAAGCTCTTTACACAGAGTCCTGTCGAGATCAAGGTAGCTACGGGAAAGACAGTTGCGTTTGCACTTTGCTTGCATCGGCAGGCTCCCTTGAGGAGCACACTATCAGAGAGGACAACGCCAGAGCCCCCTGCTGCATCCTGGCGCCGGGGCTGGGAGGTAGGGCGAGCAGGTTTGCCACAACTACATCATGTTCAGAGTGCACGTCGGTCCTCAGATCCCAGGCACGCGAAACTTCCTGCCAAATCACACGTCATTGATGCACTCACGCTGCACCTGAATGCCACCTCGCCGAGCACAGCAGTCAATCCCCGTCACCCAAAAGGATACGTTGAAGGCTCGAGTGGCTCTGCCTCACGAAACGGTGATACTGCAGCTGCGGTAGCACAAGAAAACGAGGTCAGTGCTCAGGACCGGCGCGACGCAGTACAGATGCCCCCCCTGCATCGCATTTCTCGATGCCCGAGGGTGCTCTTGAGCTTCCGAGGAGCGGTACTTCGTTACGTCAAGGACATCACGCACCGTGCCTTGATGAAGCCGAGACCCCTGGAGACCTTGGAAACTCGAAAAACTTGTGCTGCACTGGACAAGCTTCAGACACTGTAATTCGTCAGCTGGCATCGATGTAGGCCGTCTTGTCAAAAGCCATGAAAGAAGCATCCAGATAGGAAGCACCTGAACACGAGCCATCAAAATCATTGCGGGAGCTTTCCATTGCTCCACTTAGGCTGAGATATTCTTGTGTGGGTGTGCTGCCGAGCCATTGCAGCACTACAAACGCTCCCTCCTTCCAAGTGAGATCTTTAGAGAACTGGATCCAACTCAAAGACACCTCCGAGTTTCGTGCCCGGCGAAAGAGGACTTACACCTTCATAAACAGCACCGTACCTGCAAGGGCTGTGCGAGCGCAGGAGGGATCCAAACTTCAGGACGACTATCTTGCCGCTTCTCGTCCGAAGATCTCACTCCAAACGGATAAGGTGCGAACCCCAGGCGCCAGTACTCATCCATGAAGGTGGACCTACAAGCATCGTCAAGGAATGCACTGCATAAAGAGTGCGGAAACTGCGGAAGACTGCAATAACAACAACCGGCGCAATACAAAACTGGACAGTTGGTTAATCAGAGTCCCTGGCTCGATGTATTCTCCAACCGGAATTGCTGCCAGAATGGACTGCCAAGGCAACACCGTCCAGCACAAGATGGTCACAAGCAGCTTCGCTCCAGCTATCCCTTCGGCTGGACTGCCATGTACAATGAATCAAAACAGGACGCAAGAACATGTGGCATCTTGCGAATCCGGAAGGGCGTGCCGCGATTACCAAGCAGCCCAGCAGGACTTGGGCCTCATCCGCTCGCACGATGGGTTCACTTGCTTGCACAAACCCACCCGCCGCTGCAGCTGCACCATAGCATGCGTGTATAACAGGATCACATCTCTTTTGGCAGCCGGAAATGTTGCGACTCATGTGACATTCTTTGTGCCAGCATGGGGAACCCCAAACTCCAAAAGAAACCACTGAGAAGCAGTGGAACCTTTTATGACTCCACTACCGCTGCCTGCATCCCGGTGTATCCCGGTTCCCGTGCCTGCTGCCGTCTTGCAGACCCAAGGCCCAGCACTAGCAGAGCCAGCCTCGCACTGAAAGCAACACTATCATATCGCAAGTGGCCCCTGAAACGACTATCGTGCAAGCAGTGCTCGTCAAAATGTTTTGGAATGCTCGACACACCTTGTTCTGCGAGCAATCTTCCGCTTTGGTGCCCGACAGTTCCGAACAGGCTATGAGGCCCCAAATCAGCGGTCCAAAGTCCTGCAGACACACGCAGAAGCGGCAGGTCAGACAATCGTCGTCCGCGGCTGCTGTCGTATGCGGCGCGGCTAGACAGCTTTCCGACACCCTGTACATCATGTCCCAGAAAGAACTGCAATCGGCACGTGCAGCTGTCCTTGAAAGCGAACACGAACAGACATAGCGTTAAGGAGAATCTGAGTGGTCATCAACCCGGTTGTGCCAATGTAAGTGATACAGCTGGACGGTGCTGGACAGATGTGGCTGATGGATGCTGGAAACAACCCAGGTGCGAGGCGCTGTCCACGGCAGCAGCAGCAGCAAGGTCGCCGTGATGATGCCGTTTCCCGCGTTCTGTGTGCAGAAACAAAGAAGCAGTAGCAAGTGACAGAAGACCAATCCCGCTTCGAGTAGACAGACATGTTGTTCCCTGACCACACACATTTCGTTTGGACAACACTTTACTCCGACCATACCAAGAGTTGCTAGGAGCACACGCCGGCATTACACACCAACTCTCCGGCGCGCCTTTTGCACCACCGCATGCACACCGTCCATGCATGTTGCGGTAGAATTTATCCTCACATAACTCTAACAGCAGCATGCAACACCCACGCTATCCTTATCTGTTCCTAGGCTGTCAAGACATGAAAATGGACCTTTGCGAATTTGCCAACTCGAGTGCTTGTGCTCCGACATGTTCGAAGCCAGCACTGTATGTGTTGGGCCAAACATGCAGCTATTGATGCAGACAATACAATGATGATGTTCCATATTCTACTCAACATGGTTTTAACTGTTGGTCCACACGGGTGACAAGCTGAATCCAAAATTAGCAAGCATGAGTCAAGCATTCGACTTCGACAAACTAAACACCAAACAATTGTGGAAAAAGGAAGGCTTCTGCCCGCCCATTTTTTTTGCATGAACACAATGAACCACATGGGCAACACGTTTTTTCGAACACACCATTGCGAAGATGACCTCACACGATAGCTTTGTGACTTGGACAGAAAAGGTTGCGTTTGGCCAGACAAAGTGTGATCATTGGATGTTGTTCTGCCATGTTAGCGTTCTCTATGTAGCTGCATAACATGCTTACAAAAGGAAGCGCTCTTTTTCCGCAGATGGTGCTAAGAAATGCGATGCGTCTTCGAGGCAGAGCTTTGTCTGGGCAAAGCGATGCCGGGAAAGCTATCCCCCCAGGGCATGGAGGGTGGGTGAAAAAGAAATGCAATGCTTTGCCAAGCATGTTGCTGTGTGTTTCTAGGTTAGAGCCAAGACACAGCGCAGTGCATGTGTTACTGTCGCTTCCTCGAAAACACAGCTGATACAAAATACAAACACACAGCAAGCGTTCTCGATGTAGCTGCATCACATGCTTACAAAAGGCGCTCTTTTTCCGCAGATGGTGCTAAGAAATGCGATGCGTCTTCGAGACAGAGCTTTGTCTGGGCAAAGCGATGCCGGGAAAGCTGTTCCTTCTTTAGTACGCAGTTCTTGCACCTCTGCTTTTCACCCCCACCGCACGGCTGAGACCTAGCGGAAGCGGTTTTCTTGCAGAGACAGTTAGGTAAGCAAGCAAATCACGCAGCGCCAAACTTACACGCACCTACTTTTGGCTGCGACCTCCGTCAGGTCGAAATCTTCAAAGCCTAAATTTGCTCTTCAGCACCACAGAGCCTCTAGCACCTTCTTTCGCTTCATGTCCAATGCTTTTGTAGAAAGGCTGCCAGCCAGTCAGAGTAATTGAATCCAAAAGAAAAACAGCTTTACTTTTTCGGCGACTTCAGAAATTGTTTTAGGTACAGGTGTGCAGGAACAGTCATGTCTTAGAACCATGTGTGACACGAGTGCAGTTGCATTGGAACAGAACCGTATGAGAGCTGACAAGTGTATGTGCGCGAAACTGGTCAGCTTGAGTGCTTGAGAGGGTTGCAAAACTTCACATGAAAGTTCAGTCGTGGTCTGGTCCCTGCAAATCACGTCAGTACCAGCTTCGATTCAGAGAAGAAGACAGTGAAGGATTTGGCAAGTTGGAGATTCCTGTTCATAACCAGCGCAGCGTTGCCACATCCACAAGCAGAACCACAAAACAGAAAAAGAATTTGGCACAACTACGACGTACAAACACTAGAAAGAAAAAGAAAAGGAAAGAGACTCAGCAATTTGGCAAACTTTTTCTAAGAGTCTTTTCCTTTTTATTATCGTGCTCTTTCTTTGTCTTCTGCTTGTTTGCCTTTTTCTGATCCTTCTTCCTTTAGCTTCTGATTCTCTTGTCTCTTCTTTCTCTGGTTCGTTTGTCCCGCTTCTTCTGCTTCTTTTCTTCAAGATCTTGTATTTCTGCAGAACTGGTTCTCGTTCTTCCTGGAGCTTCTCAAAGTAGCTCCGGTAACTTGCTAAGTCCTCTTCTTCTTAGTCTGTCGCGTAGAAGTTCTTGGTCCATTGTGACCTTGTTCTCAGCTGTTTAAGCGGTTCTGCTTAAGTTCTTCCTTTAGTTCTGCTTGTCAAAGCATCGCGTAGCATTTCTTTCTTATCTGCTCTTTCTCTGAACTTATTCCATCTTCCAAAGGTTCGCAACACTGGGAAGTTTTTTCATCTCTGTTTCCAGTTTCTTTACTGTAAGCGCTGTAAGCTGGTTCTGTTCCAGCACTAAGTTCGCTTTTGCCAAACTCTCTCTAGGGAGGGTGTTCCAG